ATGATTTATTTCACTTGCGAGTTAAACTGACAACTGCCATCACAATAAAATGAACAATGATTGGTAGTAAATTTGTAATAAAGTAGGAATCGCACTCGGATCAATATCGTCATATCTAACTAAAATTCCTGGCCAGAACACGATTTCTGAGGACATGTGGGTTCCGAAAGCGCAACACGAACAACAATTGAACTAAAGAGGCGAAATTTTTTAAAGAAGATCTGCAAAGAGGTTTTTGATATCGTTAAAAGAATATTGGAGAGCATCTGACAAAGTGAAGTTGGCCAATGATCTCGGCATTTCCTTAGCAAAACTCTTCCCCCCCCCTCAGCACCCATCCCTCCCCACGCTATCAACCCCACCTCCCCTCCCCTGACAATTGTACAGTTTTAGTATTTGAAATAAATAAATTCTTTCCACATCTTTCTCTTGAGCGTACATCACTTTATCGAACTCAGCGAGTTCTCGTGGATTTAATGGTAGGATGTCAGACTGGAGTTGAAAATGGAGAACAGTGGGCTAACTATATTTTCTATTCATTACCCTAACTCTCAAGAGTGCGTAATATCGTGTTTATCAAGAAATATCACAAAGTTGAGGTCAAACCGTCTTGTAAAGAATTTATGAAATAAAATTAAGCCAATCGACTACTATATTCAGTGTCTCTCTCTTCTGCTAATGAATTGTTCAGAATTATTGAGTGCCATATTTTTCTGTAATGAAAGGTTCTCTCTAAAATTGAAGTAGTCGATTGTAAGTCCGGCGGGTTCACTAGCACACTGTTGATGTTTAAAACACGTGATGACCATTTTCATAAAAGTTCAAACATGTCTTTAGGCCCTCCATAATAACATCCAACCGTGCATTCATTCCATGTAGAGTCAAAATCAAGAAAGCTTCCATCTAAAAAGATAGCAATTTCAACCATAAGCCATGTTATCAAGTGATTCACGAGTACTGTAAGTGGCAATTTTAGGCCAGAGGATAGAAGTTGCGACGCGCTCTTACAGTCAACTCAGACTAGCGAAGCAAACAATCATGCCAAGCTTCTAAAAGCCCAGAAGCATGAAGACTTAAGTTCTAGAAGATAAAAAGGAGATGATGAAACCCCGTTTGCTCAATTTTTAGCATCACACTGAGGTACCATATCCCATTTCTACCTCTTCTGATCAAAAGGTCTGCTCTCTGATCTTTATTATTGGCACCAAAGAGATCTGTGTGGGCTCAGCCGGGATTTGAACCCGGGACCTCTCGCACCCAAAGCGAGAATCATACCCCTAGACCACTGAGCCACACCTGCCCCCCTCCATCCCTCTCACAAACTTTACTAAATTCTTAAATAAATAGTGCAAGTCGGATTGAGTATTGCTTTGATTATTTTCACTCAAATCTAAGATTAAATTTCGAAATCACTGTGGTCCAAATTAAATAATGCTATAATGGGAACAAAAGGTAGATAAATAGAAGATCACGTGATGGTATAATACTACTTTGTGTGCTTATTACTATGTGTCACGCGTATTGACTTAAGATTCTTGACTGAAAAACTTAGAAGATCTCGGTGGAATTCAATATTTCAACACAACGCGTGATAATTTATTCATGAATTTGTGGAAATTATTGTCATACATTGTAGTTCTTTCATTATCGCAGTTCATGCTTTCGCATCAAATACCATTTTAGTTGAATCATATATATAAACACATCTAGTGCTAATTATTACCTCGAATCCACCTGTTTCCTCGGCTTATTGAATGTCCTTGATTAATACTGCAGTTTGCCTTAAAATATCTTCAAGTTACGGTGAAATCGATGCCGATCAGTGAACTCCATCGTTAAGTTTGTTCAATAAATGTAGTAAAATTAGTGAAGTAGTATGGCGTTATGTATTAAGGTTCTAGAAACGGTGACGTACTCTCTTTCGTTGCCGATATGGTAACAAATTGGCTCTATTGCGTTCCTAATAATGTAGAACGATTTTGCGTCAACTTTCCCATCTCACTATCACTCATGCATTTTCATAGATAAGCATTTACCAAATACACATATCTCCATTGGTTGATTTAACAGCTATCAGACATCCAATAAGGACAGATCGTTTTTCTTTGGATTTAGTGGTCGTAGCTTTTGCTAGAAAGAAGGCCTTGTTTGAAGAGCATTGGTGAATTTTAGTATCAAAGCTGAAGGAACAAAGTGCATATTTCGAATGAACCCCAGCGTTTTTAAGCTAAATTTAAATATGTTAAATTTGGATTTAATGACAGATAATAAAACAAGACGATTAATTATGTAAATAATACAACAGTTGGCAAAATGATTGGAAAGTACATAAATGAAATTATGATGAATTGTCAATAAAATATACCAGCGTTTGTGAAATACAAATATGACTGTCAAGTCATCACAGGTATTATTTCCTTTTATTCTTACCTGATGTCAATCGTTTGAATGATCAGATTCCAATGCTCAGAGATCACTCCTTAAGCGCTAAGTTATCAATGACATAGAGCACTATTTGATTATCAATTATAGGATTACCGGCTACCTGTCATTTTGTGGGAGACTAGAGGTCAAGAAAACTGAAACCACTGTATGTCACCACGACAAATCTATATGTAGCATTGCATTGCTCTAATATAGCCACTCCATAGTGGTTTAAGGCTAAAGAAAATCTTTGAGCTCTTGTAGCAAAATGTTTACATTTTCACTAATTGAGGCGTTGGCTTTTAGACACTCCATACGTGAAGCAGAACTTAACTTTGTAACGAGTAAGTTATCAGAGCTTCACACCAAAACTCTTATAACTGCATGGGTTAAAAGTCTTCTAGAACGATTTGACATTACTATAAGATTCATTTTGCGATCCAGTTGTGGAGAATTTCACCACCCGGCATCAGTTATGCTATCAACTGCCCCATCAATTGATTGGTTAGAGGGGAAAAAGATCAGCATTCTCATTTTATTTCCTGAAATAACCAAGGAAGACGAAGTGAAATATGACCAAATTGTGATGATCAGAGCTTTTGTGGATTTCATTTCTTTCATTGTGTCTATGTTGCTGGGTTCGGGTAGAGCGCACTAGATTTGGCGGACTTGTTTGCGTGCAATTAGGAATGGATGGTTGCCTGCAGTTAACCTCGTGTTGTGATGGGATGTCCTGTAGCGTTATAATCATGCTACTAACTTGAGAATTCTAACAATGGACAGAGATTCATTCCAACACTTTCGTAAATGTGAGAGAACATTTTGTAAGTCAACTATCTGTTTGTAAGCAAATTGTGTGACGCCGTCAAAATCTATACCTGTATAACCTGAGAAATTCAGCCGTATCAAAAGGAAACCTGGTCCAAATCATGGAACACGTTTTCTAATTTTGATATCCAGATCCCTACAAATTTACAGTAGAGCAAAGGTATATTTTCATTACTAATTGATTCAACAACATTGATGAAGGATTTATAAAGACCAATATTCTAAACATAAAATTAGCACATATTTTCGAATAAACAAAACATTGTAAGTAGTAGTGAGGTGCCTTGATCATCAGACTTTTATCATCAATCGTATAGTTAGGCTTCACTACTCGAAGTAATGATAAAGTCGGTGAAACAAGGGTTCTCTCAAATCAATGAAAATAGAGGGAAATTAAAAAGGTATCCACACTCGTCTTGGCACAACAGATGTTCAGCTGCAGGTTCAAACGCTCGTCCACCATCGTTGTTCAATATGTAGAAGTCTTCTAGTGTAGCACTCTGTTTATCTATCGATGTTCGAATGTTGAAATTGAAACTTCTCAGAGCTTGCATTTCACATCAAGTAAATAGTCGAATTTAACTGCTCAAATGGATGGTTAAGTCGGGGTTGCCAACATTCGTGCAAAACAAGTTGGCTTTCATGTGATATTTCACCAAATTATTTAGCTGTAGCGACTTCTTCCCACATGCAGCTCTTCACATTATTTGTTCTTGTTAGCGTGGTGGTATTCAAACGGTTCAATAAACGCATCTCAGAGCATGAATAGTTGCAACTCTTTCAACTTCCCAAATATATACGATAAGGTTTGTTATATTTAATCACAATTCAGCTCACTCATCAAACTTTCCAATCGTACTTAAATTTTAAATTTAATTGCCGTTCTGAGTAAATCCGAAGGAATTGCGTTTAAAAATTCAAACTTTACTATCAGTTTCAATAAACTCATAGAGTAAATTATTCAAGCCAAACAAAATCTAAAGTGAATCTCTTGTCAAATATTGGCCACTTTTACAACCATTTGAGGAGTAGTTTAGCTCCCTTCTATTGCCTCCTCTAACATGAATTCAATTATATTTCCTGTCACATTAAGGATTCGAGTCTTAATAGTGAGGCTATTGACGATGTCATGCTAAGCAAATATTGGCACGAGAACTGGAAGAAGTGGAAAGTCAATCTAATAAAAAATAAATGAAATTGGGGTTATCGAGTAAATTAAAATGCGATTTAAGTTCATTTGGTTAAATCAAACTACGTGTGAAAAGGGCTTTTAATGAATAATGCCCCGTTATGGAATTAGTGTGGAGAGTTCATCTGAATGTATTAAAACGTTTCTGGAACCAATGAAGCATTTCTAGGTATTTCTAGCATAATTTGCAAATGTGAAGTTAAATGATTGAGGTGTTTCTGCTATTCTTTGGCAAACAACGCCATCGAATAGTTCAAATACTGAATTATAATTATTTTTATTATTAATTGTATCAAAATCACTTTTGAAATTTGCGTAAGCCAATGTGAAATTTTGATTGAATTAGAAAAGTGATAACTATTCATAATGGCTCGAAACCCCATCGAACAAAGTATTGCAACTACTTATCTGTGGCGCCGTCTCTTTATTGACCCCCGTAATGGAATCTTAACAGACAATCTTTCTACGTGCTCAAATTCAAACTCACAACTTGCATGTGCCTTGGGTGTACACAGATTGTATTTCATATACGCACACAGCAGTACCAGGATTAGAAAAATTAATTCGCATGCCAACGGAAGTGCCAAGTAAGCCACCAGGGAACTTCAAGAAAGCTGACTGATCTAGATTCACAATCCTCTTTGAGAATGAACTTCACACAAGTCTCCTCAGCTTCAACCAACATCCTGGCAAACTTTGCAACGACATCACAGATATTACGATCAGATGTGCAAAGAAAAATATTTCCCGAGGTAAGACTAAACACTTTCGAGTGTTTTGGTCTGATTACCTTGAGAAAGTGAAAGGAAAGCGTGGCGCCCTTCGCAACACTGTTGGTCAGACTGGAAGATAGGAAGACGCACATGCCTGGAGACGGCAGTCAGCTGTCCTAAGGCAAGCCATCCTACAAGCTAAATGGACTACTTTCGACAACTTCATCTCAAATATCAACTATCAAAGTGATAGCCAACGCACTTTCACATTCCTGA